GAATGACGCCATGAAGTACTCCATCGTTGTTGCAGCTACCGCTTCCGAGGCCGCTCCTCTTCAATATATCGCTCCTTTCACTGCTACCTCTATGTAAGTTTGAATAATTCATTCTATCCCTTTACTTTTTCAATTCCACTCCCATTGTCCTACTTCAAGTTGAACTTTGATACTTTTACATTGTTCTGGTTCAAGTTGAACTTTGATACTTTCACACATTGTTCTAGCTCAAATTGGACTTTGATGCTTTTACAGTTACATTGTTCAATATAAAATTGGAGATTTATACTCCCCCTATTGTTCAATACAAATCTGGAGTTTTATATCCCCAGATCATCCAAGTTCTAGTTTGGCTTTTCTATTTCCTTACTCGCTTCTTCCTCTTGTTTCGTAACGCACGGACACTTGCTGACTAATTCCAAACTTTAGCGGAGAATACTTCCGAGACTCAGGAAAACATGCTCTCATCATCTTCGACGATCTTTCCAAACAAGCCGTCGCATACCGTCAAATGTCTCTTCTTCTTCGTCGTCCTCCTGGACGTGAAGCGTATCCAGGGGATGTATTCTATTTAGTCAGTATAATCTGGGTTATCCCGAAGTTTTTTTCTGTGAAAAATTGAAAAATTAAAAGCTAACTAAATTTTTTCAGCATTCACGTCTCCTCGAGCGTGCTGCCAAGATGAACGACAAGCACGGTGGTGGATCTTTAACTGCCCTCCCCATTATTGAAACCCAAGGTGGTGATGTGTCAGCTTATATCCCAACTAACGTTATTTCTATTACTGATGGACAAATTTTCTTGGAGGCCGAACTTTTCTACAAGGGTGTTCGTCCAGCCATAAACGTCGGTCTTTCTGTCTCCCGTGTCGGATCTGCTGCGCAACTTAAGGCCATGAAGCAAGTTGCTGGTTCCTTGAAGCTTTTCTTGGCTCAATACCGTGAAGTCGCTGCTTTCGCACAATTCGGTTCCGATTTGGATGCTGCTACCAAGCAAACTCTTAACCGCGGTGAAAGAGTAAGTCTTCACATGACATGTCAAGATCTAATAATTTACACAAGCTAATACTAATGTTCTACAGTTGACTGAGCTCCTCAAGCAAAAGCAATACTCTCCTATGGCTGTTAACGAAATGGTTCCTCTCATCTACGCCGGTGTCAATGGTCACCTCGACTCCGTACCAGTCAACAAGATTCTCACATGGGAGGCTGACTTCCTCTCACATCTTAAGACCAACGAAGCCGATTTGTTGGCAACAATCGATAAGGAGGGTGCTCTCAGCAAGGACCTTGAGGCTAGATTGAAGGATGTCGTCACTTCTTTCACCAAGAGCTTCGTCTAAATCAATAGATTAAAATAAATCATGGTCATTCCCTCGCTGTTTTTTGTCCCTTAGCATGTGGGTCTGGGCGAGCTGTATTTTGAACGTTGTGACGAGGAAAGGAAAAATTAGTAAGGTGATGGAGGAGGCTGGGACGAGTGATGAATGATAGGCGGAAGATTTGATAGATCAAAATCAAAGCTGTAGAATAGTTGGACCTGTCAATTCTTCCGCGTGTTATACGACTACATGAAATTCTGTCTATCGATGTATTCAAAGTGATGTTTACTAACTGTAGCACAAAAATATGCCCTATTGGGGGCAAGCGTCTCGCGAATCTTTAAGAAACATATGTCCAGGTTGATATCTGGACCCTGCATGAATATGATATGTGCCGTAGATATCATGTCAGCTTATGTTTACAAGCTGGAGTAGCAGCAAGCACGGTGCTTTGTAATGTAAGCGGGGGGTTGAATAACGGGAGCCTGGTATGTATGAAGGGTCTTGAAGAATCCTAGGATCTTTTGGGGCTGGTGGGATCTTTAGAGTTTTATGGGCGGGTAGGGCCCCGTGGGCCCCGAGTACAAAATGCTATTTATTATGTACTAGGGATAGGCTAGTCACGTAATTTATTTTGGTGCTAGGTGTTAGTGCGTGGTGAGAGATAGTGGCGGGGTTAAGTGCGTGGGTAGGTAGTGGGTAGTCGGTGGTAGCGGCGGAAGGTGTTGGTTAGTGGTGAAAGATAATGGCGGGAGGTTTAGGTAGCGTCCCTGAGTACCTGAGTAGCTGAGTATCCTATAGTATACGCGCCGGGCCGGGACGATGATGGATGGCGGATTAAGGGTATTTGTAGTGTATTGCAGGGATAAGGAGGGTGTAACTTCAAGTCTAGGTCTAGGCCTAAGTGGGCTACCCTTCTACCGGTCTTTAGAGTGGTCTTTTTGTTGGTTATGAG